GCTGCCAAAGGAGGGTCAACCAGTTATTAAGTCCAAAGGTTCACATACTTTTTCCTCCCTGCACTGTGAATGTTTACATGTTATGTGCAATTAAACCATGGCAACATCTAATGTTTGTGTAGTATTATGTTCAGCAGACTGTGTTCTTCTATTGTTGTGACTTAGATGACGTTCAGAGCACATTTTATGCCCAATTCATGCAAAACTCCACGTAATCCCAAGGGGTTCACATACTTTTTCTTGCAACTGTATATCCTTTGCTTGAGGACTAAGCCTCGGTTTATGCTATGAACCGTGCTTGCAAAGTAAAAATTGACACCTAGAAAATCAGAGAGAAGCTGGATGTAAACATATTTCCACTATAAACAATATGAAGCCCAGACTGGATGATACTGGTGCTGCAGCCCTCTGAAGCTCAGGGAATCTTTACCTGTCCAAAGAGGTCACAAATGCCTAGTGCATTATCTAAAGCACTTTATTAAGAGTTACAAGATGCAAACATACTCACAAACCCACGGCGACTCATAGGGGTTTATTTACTAAAGCTGGAGAGTCCAAAATCAGACTCCCTTCTGCATAGAAACCAATCAGCTTCCAGGTTTCATTGCCAAAGCTTCATTGAACAAGCTGAGGTTAGAAGCTGATTGGTTTCTATGCAGAAGGGAGTCTGATTTTGGACTCTCCAGCTTTAGTAAATAAACCCCATAGTGTTTCATAAATCCAGAAACCAGAAGACACCCCTTGAACCCCATTGATCCAAACGGATAATGTTATCAACTGATGTGGTTCGGGGGACAGACCCCATTCCTCAGAGCAAAAACTGTTTCCAATGATCCAATGATCATTGATCCAATGGCTTCAATACTTTTCCAATGGCTTCAATACTTTTTTGATTTAGATCAAGTAAACTGATCAAGTGTTCTTACTGAATTCTGGCTTAATATTCTTCATGTTTGTCCTGGATCAGTGAATTGGAAAGGAATGAACCCATAGACAGCCTAGCAGTTAGCATTTTCAGGAGGAAGTCACCAATGACCGCCTTATATTTTGCTCACTACAGGGTTTTTTTTTCAAAATATCACTAGCTTCTGCCATGTAATAGGTCTGTGATGGTTCTGTGAAAGTTATGTTGATTAAAGCAGGAAAAATAGCTGATTTCGGTGGTGATATGCTACAGGGATAGAAGTTGGAACACCTGACCATCACACAAATATGAGCCTTTTGAACATCTCATTCCAACCATATACATTAAGCTTGGAGTTGTCCCCTCACCTTTGAGTTATAATAGCCTCAGCTTTCCATAAGATTTTGGAGAGTATCTATGGACCAGGGGCGGACTGACCATTTGGAAACTCGGGTACTGCCCGAGGGCCCGGGGTCAGTAGGGGGCCCCATGACATGCCCCTGGTACCTTTTTCATAGGCTTTTTTGAGTTTGGGCAAGGACACAGGGGCCCCATGATCCCCTATTGCCCGGGGGCCCCATGAGTTGTCAGTCCGCCCCTGCTATGGACATTCATTCAAAACAACATTTGTGATGTCCAGTATTGATATTGGATGAGAAGATCTGGCTTACAATCAATATTTCAGTTAATCGCAAAAGTGTTCAGTAGGTTTGAGGTAAGGGCTCTGTGCGGGGCACTTGAATTCCTCCACACTAAGCTCACCAAGCCACGTGTTTTTGAAGTTAGCTTTGTGCAGGGCCGTGGATATGGGGGACACCACCAGTCCTCCTGTACGGAGCCCAGGCCAGCAGGAGGGCCTAGGCAACTGGGTAAATCGGATGTGCATAGGGACAGGCATGGTGGGAAAGAAGTTACTGGAACCGATCCCTTGTATGGTTCCCTCCGCAGCAGCTGAAGACTGGCTTCTTCTCCTCTCCCTCCCGCTGGCATACAGTTGCTGCAGAGAGCCATACAGGGGACTGGTTCCAGTAATTGCCCCCCCCATTGCACCTATCACCCCCCCTTTCACCATACGTTTCCCCTCTGTGTGTGCTCATCCCTACAGTGCTCCTGGGTTCTCTCCTTCCCACCGGTAACTGCAAGCACACAACACGATCTTTCTGGATGATGAACACAATGAGTGATCAGTACCGATAACACACTGGGGTTGATTCACTAAAGGCAAACAGGCTGTGCACTGCAAGTGCACTCTAAGTACTTGGAAGTACACTAAAAGTGCAGTTGCTCTAGATCTGAGGGGAATATGCAAGGAGAACAAAAAAAAACTGTATTTTTGCTTGCACATGATTGGATGAAAAAAGCAGCAGAGCTTCACCTCATTTCAGAGCTTTCTCTCGGACCTAAAGCATCTGCACTTGAAGTGAACTTGCGGCGCACTTGCAGAGCACAGTATATTTACCTTTAGTAAAGAAGCCTCCCTAGCGGTCTGATTATGTCAGTATTTCTGTACTCAAAGCGGTACATTTTTTTGCATGGAAATATGTAGTTTTTTTTATTGTAGGCCTGTAATTCTTAGGAATAACTCACTGAAATCTGTCCGAACAAGAGTCTAGTAAACATCCCGGGGATGATAAAATTTGAAACACGAAATCATAAATTATAATATAATAAATAATCATAAAAAATAATAATATAATAATAATACATTTATTTCAATAATATAATCAAACCAAAAACACTGAAATTAGAAATATAGCGCCAAGTTTGCACATTGCTGAGTTCAGTCGCAGAATCGTTTTCAGTGTCTGATGAGGAATTTCCCCCAGGAATCATTATCACTCAATTCTGCAAGTGGTTCTGATTTATTATCACTGTTCTCTAGCCGGTCTAAAACCGCTTTTGACCTAAAGGGACGCTTTTTGGACGCCATGGACGTTTCTCAGTTTCCAGACAGAAAGAACAGTAAAAATGCAGGCAGGGCGCCGGACAAAGCACTCGGGACACAATGTATGTGAAATGGTTTGATACAGGAATGTTATACTATGTGATTTTAGTGAATGTCACTTTTGCAACTTTCAAATTTCCCACCAGTTCCGTCCCCCGTATATTCCGACGTCGCAGGGAACAGAACCCAGAAGACAGATGCCAGCATCCGCAGGAGGACATTGCAGGGGACACTGCAGGAGGGACATTGCGGGACAAGGTAAGTGAAGAAGAGATCCTGGAGAAGCACCGCATGGTAAGCCCGAGTGTAACTCGGGGTTACCACTGGTGGTGCTGAAATTTTACCCCGAGCTACACTAGGGAATACCGCTAGGGGGTTTAACTCCACTGTGCTCATTCATAACTGAAGCATAGTAAACTGTGTTTTTTTGGGGGCGGGGGAGGCCCATGGTTTATAGCAGCAGTTGGCTTTGTGTATCATGTTTAGTATGGATGAGGTCAGAGCTTTATGCAGGACACTTGAGTTCCTTCACACCAAACCCATCAAACCATTATGGAGCTGGCTTTGCATACATGGTCATGAAACTCATCAAATCATGTCTTTATGGAGCTGGCCTTGTGCAAAGGGGCATAAGCAACTGGAACAGAAAAGGGTCTTCCCCAAACTGTTACCACAAGGTTGGAAGAGCACAATTGTCTTCCTGAACTGTAGCATCAACAGAACCCTTCACTGAAAACACCAGAATGTAATCAGTAGAAGGGGTATCCACATACTCTTGGTCATATAGACTATGTAAACTAATGTTGATGTCCACCTTCAGAAAATACCAACTTCCTAAATTGCTTTCCTGTTCTGCGTCATCACATGGGAAACTATTGAAACCGTTGATTTCAATAGGTAAATTGGCAGCAAGGTAAATAGCATTTTCAGTAGAACAAATCAGCAGTGGGCTAAATCGTCTAAAATATCTTTGCATGCTGTACCATCAACAGTGTCCTTCACTGGAATCACCTGAAAGCAATAATTATGAATAGCCCATATTGTGTAAGTAATGCAGACCATAGATGGGGAGAAACCTGGCCGATTTTTCTTTAAAAAAATGAAAAATTGGTCGTTCAATTGGCCGACGTTACCAGGAACAGTAAAAAAAAATCGGCCGATTTTCATCCCGTCTACAGCCGGCAAAAAGTGTCTCTGCAGAGAGATCTGCTATTTCTTTGACAGTTCTTTGGCATTTATAGCGGCTCCAACATTGTATCCATTTGTATCCATTTCGGATAAAGATGTTTTTATTCGGAAACAGATACAATGTTGCAGCCGCTATAAATGTCAAAGAACTGTCAAATAAATAGCAGAGCTCTCTGCAGGGACACTTTTTGCCAGACTGGAATTCTTCTTCTTCATTTCTTCTTCTTCTTCTTCATCCTCTTCTTCTTCTTCATCCTCTTCTTCATCCTCTTCTTCTTCTTCATCCTCTTCTTCTTTTTGTCTTCCTCTTGCAGGTCACTGCTCATACTCAGATTTTTTATCGGTAAAAAGATCGGTAAAAACCGGCCGATCTTTTTCCAACTTTACCGATAAAAAAAATCTGCCAAAATACCGAAAAACGGCCAACCTATTAACCCACTAACGATCCGAAAATCGGCCAATTTTATTTTCGGCCGAAAAATCAGCCGATTTTCGACCCATCTATGGCCTGCATAAACAGATCATTAACAATGATGACAGTGGCTTTCAGTGTTTTAATATGTAAAAATTAAAAAAATTATTAAAAAATCTAGGCAATATTTACTTAAAATGAGCATTTTGACAAGAAAATTGTTGCAAGATGAAGAACACAGATAAAATGAGTCATACATCTTGAACTGACCCTCTTCTTTCAACCACAGACCACCCCTGGTAATTATTTTACACATTGACAGCTATGACAGTGGGATGAATTTTGGCTCCGTAGTTTTTGCAGTTGTCTACCCTCGACGTCTGCCCCTGTGCTACTCCACGCACAGTAATAGATACCGGAGTCTCTGAGATCAATCGTGCTCGCCGTTAGAGTAAAGTCCGTTGGGCTGACCCGCGTTCCTTTGAAGTGTTGAAACTCCTCCACCGATGTGGTGCCCAGAGAGTATGAGATGAAGATCAGGGGACCTCCGTTCAGACTACGTCTGTACCAGTACAAATGGGGGTCACCTTGGCGTAACACCCTGCAGTACAGGGAAGGGCCCTGACCCACATGGGTAAAAATGGAAGGGGGATCCTGGATAATTAAGGGCAGACAGAATGGCAGGAATATCGGCAAGACAATCGGAAGGACAAACATGGCTGATGATACGAGTCAGATCGCGTGTCCTAGCTCAAACCACACTTGGGTTGACTCTTACAGCTTCACACGGTCCCTCCTCCTCCTTCTGTTTGTGGTTTTCCTTTTTCAATAAAAAAAATAGGGTTCATAGCAGCTTGCTTTCTGAACAGATGTCAGGCAAAACATGGCAGCTAAACACTCAGATGTTAGCAGGTATAAGTGTTTTTGATACTTGAACATTTAAAGTGGGATTCCAGGCAAACCCTAACTGGCCTTAAAATGGTCGTCTCCCCCCCCCCCCCCCCTCCTGACACCTATGCTAACTAACCTCTATAAGAAAGATATGTTTACTCATCTCTTTGCAGCTACTCTGGTCCAGTCACTTGCTCCAGCTCCCCTATGTCATCGGTGGCGGCTGCAGGGGAGAGGAGGGAGCGACGACAAATGGATAAGCCATTGAAGCCTATGGGTGATGCCACAACTCCAGCCACTGCTGGCTGACACAGGATCACATGACCAGACCAGAGCGGGATGAAAATAGGTAAGTATATACATCTTTCTTACACAGGTTAGTGTCAATTGGCTCCTGCATAGGTTCCCACCTCTGTGTGTTGTGATTGATGTGTTTTTCCTGCACGCTTTGTGGTGTGTTTTGTTTTTGATGTGAACACGCATTTTGCTTTTTCTTTTTTTGCCAACAGGAAAGTGACTTTGAAGTGACTTTGATGCAACTTTTAATCGGTACGACTTTGACTTGATGTAACTTTGGATGGGTATGTAACTTTGGACTTGGATGTAACTTTGGATGGGTATGACTTGGATGTAACTTTGGATGGGTATGACTTGATGTAACTTTGGATGTAACTTTGGATGGGTATGACTTTGATGTAACTTTGGATGGGTATGACTTGGATGTAACTTTGGATGGTATGTGGATGTAACTTTGGATGGGTATTGGATGTAACTTTGGATGGGTATGACTTGGATGTAACTTTGGATGGGTATGACTTGGATGTAACTTTGGATGGGGTATGACTTGGATGTAACTTTGGATGGGTATGACTTTGATGTAACTTTGGATGGCTATGACTTTGATGACTTTGGATGGGTATGACTTGGATGACTTTGGATGGTTGCAACTTTAATGCAATTTGAATGCGACTTTGATGCAACTTTTGAATGGGTGCAAACTGAATGTGACTTTGGATGGGTGTGTGACTTGGTGTGACTATTATTAGGTAAAAAAAATAAATTCAACGGCCAACGTCCTTTAACTTTTAGGACTTTATTGGTCCACGCGATCTACAAGGATATCCCCATAATTTCTCTATCAGCTTTTAAAAGCAAAAAACAATCCTTCCATCAGTCGTGTTACGTCGTTGTATGTCAGAAGTGATTGACATCTGCGTCTATTTTATTGAAAAAATGCTTTTATCCTAGAGCTGGACCATTCCTTGGTTTTAGCAATGAAACTCATTGGAGTTGATATAAACAAGAATGACCAGCAGACCTTCACACACAAAAAAAAATACTTTGCAAATATACAAATGAAGGGACTTTTTCATCATTTGAAAATGACAAAGAATATAACACATTTGTAAAAAGGAAATGTAGATCAAATCAAGTATTGGACCTGGAGCCTCCTGGGATCTACAGGTCACATATCTCAGGAGGCTGCAGGCTTCTACACCGTGGACAGAGAGGAGGGGACTAATGGTGCGTCATCGTTGGACTGGGTGAGGATGAGGCAGCTGGCTCCTGATGACTTAATTAAAAAATATGGCAGTGAGGGACTTTGTTTGCGGCAGCAGGTGGTGGATTACAGCAGGTCCATGCCGGGTTTGTTGGGCATGTGTGCATGTTTACTGTGGACAATCCCTAGGAAAAAGCTAAGAGGGGATTAATGTTCTTTATTATATGACTTTTTTGCCTCACACACCCCCATAACCAAGGTAGTGGTCCTTGTACACGCACCTGAAACCTAGCTAACGTGCCCCAATCACTAAACACACAACTGAAAACTCCCATGCCACCTGAAACCCAGAGCCTCACAGCCCCAAAACCAAGCTCCTGACCCCTTACACACACAAACACACACACACCTGAAACCTAGCTAACATACCCCCCCAACACCCCCACTAACAACTCTAACCCCTAGTGGGTTCCCATGCCACCTGAAACCCAGAAGGTGGCATATTGCTGTACACCCCAAAACCAAGCTAGTGACCCCCCTTCATACACACAAACCTGACACCTCATCCCATACACACACCTAAACCCAGCTAGCCCCTCCTCATCCTACCTAGTGGGGAAACCCAGCTAGCATTTAGGCTAAGGGATGAATGGCGAGATTTTGGCAAAACTTATTTCTCCATATTTCTGATTTTGCTGTCAGCAAAACTTATCTGAAGCAGAATCTCTCAGTTTTTGAGCTAAAAGAATGGAGCTAAACTGAAACTTGATTAAAATAAAAATATCATTTTTTTTGCATGTAGCCTCCCTAGCGGTCTGATTATGTCCATATTTCTGTTCTCAAAGCGGTACATTTTTTTGCATGGAAATAGAGCGCCAAGTTCGCACATCGCTGAGCTCAGTCGCAAAATCGTTTTCAGTGTCTGATGAGGAATTTCCCCCACGAATCATTATCACTCAATTCTGCAAGTGGTTCTGATTTACTATCGCTGTTCTCTAGCCGGTCTAAAACCGCTTTTGACCTAAAGGGACGCTTTTTGGACGCCATGGACGTTTCTCAGTTTCCAGGCAGAAAGAACAGTAAAAATGCAGGCAGGGCGCCGGACAAAGCACTCGGGACAAAATGTATGTGAAATGGTTTGATACAGGAATGTTATACTATGTGATTTTTAGTGTATTTAGTGAATGTCACTTTGTCATTTTCAAATTTCCCGCCAGTTTCGTCCCCCGTACGTCCCGACGTCGCAGGAAACGGAACCCGGAAGACAGATGCCGGCATCCGCCGGAGGACATTACAGGGGACACTGCAGGAGGGACATCACGGGAGCGCAGGACAAGGTAAGTTCAGAAGAGATCCCAGAGCAGCGCTGCAGAGTATTCCCGAGTGTAGCTCGGGGTTACCGCTTGTGGTGCTGAAACTTTACCTCGAGCTACACTCGGGAATACCGCCAGGGAGGTTAAAGGGTGAGTTCACCTTTGGGAACATATTACATGTTCCACCTGTTCGGTGATCTGAGCCCTCTGTGTGACAGCAGTACGAGGAGTAGTTCCCCGTACTACCTGTTACTTTTTCAAAAGGGTGAGGCCGTGCAGGGCTCTGCCTACATGGCCGCATCGTTCGTTCCCAGAGTTCTGTGAATGAATCAACTACAAGTACCTACATCCAGATGTCGGCTTGTAGTTCCCAATGCACTACCATGGCGCTATTGAGTGCTCTGGTAGTTCATTGATTCTTCCTGTCAGTGTGAAACTATCTGCCTGTATGATGTATGATGTACAATGTAGAATGATGGGCAGCACAGTGGCTAAATGGTTAGCACTTCAGCCTGGCAGAGTACTAGGGTCTGTGGTTCAAATCCCAGCCCACAGCACCACCTGCCTGGAGTTTGCATGTTTTCCCTGTGCCTGCGTGGTGTACTCCGGTTTCCTCCCACAATCCAAAGACATGCTGGTAGGTTAATTGGCTCCTGTCTAAATTGTCCCTAGTATGTGTATGTATGAATGTGAGTTAGGGATCTTAGATTGTACGCTCCTCGGGGGGCGGGGACTGATGTGAATGTACAATATGTATGTAAAGCACTGTGTAAATTTACAGAGCTATATAAGTACCTGAAATAAATGTATGACATATAATGTATGATTTACATACATCATATGTCATACATCATACACCATACATTGATGTATGATGTACAATGCCTTTGAAGGAAGCTTTTGGCCAGCAATCAGTATTGATGAGAAAGTAGTTTCATAGCAGGCACGTTTGCCCCTCCATGAAGTTGGCCTTTCTCAAAACGAGTAGCAGCTGCAATAGCCTGCGAGAAGAACATACAAATTACAAAACTGTATTGTTAGGTTTTGTAAAGGATGGATTAAGAAATGTTTTATTTTAGCAATATCATCTAAAAAATATTTTATCAGATTCTGAAATTCAGTAATAAAAAGTGACGCAGTAACTTTGCATTTTAAAATGAATCAAAACTTTATCTGAATATTGAATAATTTCTTTGGTGGTTACATGGAAATTTTAATAAAAGGTGGTCAGGGCCCTGTATGGTAAATAAGATGTCTGCCTGAGTATTGATTCTCTCACATTACTGCTCATTACTGACTATCATAACCTACAGGCTGACCAGAACCCCTTACAGGAGTGTGAAACTGGTGGGTCCAAAAAGTTACAGAAATCCATCTGCTGTGGCCTTATCCAAATGCCCTCTTGATTGCCATCACATTAACCACTTGCCTACCAGGCACTTATACCCCCTTATGTACCAGGCCAATTTTCAGCTTTCAGCGCTGCCGCACTTTGATTGACAATTGCGCAGTCATGCAACATTGTACCCATATGAAATTTTGATCATTTTTTTCTCACAAATAGAGCTTTCTTTTGGTGGTATTTAATCGCCACTGGGCGCTTTACTTTTTGCGCTATAAATAAAAAAAATGCAAAAAATTTGAAAAAAGAAAAAAGTTTCTTTGTTTCTATTATAAAATTTTTCAAACAGGTATTTTTTCTCCTTCACTGATGTGCGTTGATGAGGCAGCACTGATGGGCACTGATAGGCGGCACTGATGGGCACTGATAGGCAGCACTAAAGGGCACTGATAGGCAGTACTAATGAGGTGGCACGGATAGGCGGCACTGATAGGCAGCACTAATGAGGTGTCACGGATAGGCGGCACTAATATGCAGCACTGATAGGCGGCACTGATAGGTGACACTGATGATGGGTACTGATAG